GCATTTGTAGGACATGGGATCCAACAGCATAATTCCATGTGACATGGAAGGAATGTTATCCCAAATACTAGATATTTTGTTTTAAAGACAGAGGTTCTTTTTATTTGCCTCCTGGTTTGTGACATTTGCTGCTCAGGTACGAGATATTGCTAGATACTTATTTTTAAATGGAAGCTGAGATAAAGGTTCATTTCCTGGGACTGTGTTTAAGAAGAATCCCAAATATCATAAGGTTTCTAGTGAGCTAGCAATACTGAGAACTAAAACATCTTTCTGATAGGGTATATTATGGCATGTCTAGCATGGAACTGCTGTGGCTTTTCAATTTATTACTTCCTACTTGTAGAAAATTTGAATTAGTGCAGGCATTAAAGAGCTGTTGATGTAAAGATCCAGGCCTCCCACCCTTTGCTATCATACATGGTGCTGACTACTGGGAGAAGTCACATTGTCTACTTAACATTGTAATGCTGGGTTTTGACATGTACACAGAGGCAGACTTGGGTGGGAAAGCCAGAGGTCTGGTCCCACCAGTGGGGTGCTTTCTGGTGAGGCTTGCTGCATGCAGATGGCCAGATTCTGCTGTCATTACTCCACAACCAAGGGGGTTGCATTCGCCTGTGTGTGGTAGAGCTTTCTCCTGGCAGAGGCCTCGCTCTGTGAAAACAGGAACAACATCATCTATCAAAAAGGATATTCTCCTGCACTTCAACGAGCTATTTATCTCCCTTGTGTAATTACAACATGGTTCTTTGGCAGGACCCTCAGGCACGGCTTCCAGTGCTTTTGGGATAAGAAGAGTAATGGGCTTGATGGCTCTGCAGGCAGGACCAGGGAGCAGGAGGGAACTGTCATCCCCCCATTGCACCTGACAGAGGGGGTGCCCCAACGGCTAGGAAGCTAACATGATGTGCCCTCATCAGCCAAGACTGTGACTGGTGGCAGAGCCCTTGGGGAGAGTTTCTCTCCCTGCAGGTTGAGCCTGGCATGCATGTTTTCTGTGTGGCTTTCTGTGCAGGATAAACCCACAGGGCTTTGGGAAGATGTCGGGAAGAGGAAATGATGGCTGTGGATTGGGTGCATCACCACGGGTGTCCCAGAGCAGCTAGGGAATGCTGGCCCAACAGAGTCATTCAGAGAAGCTGGCTGCCCCTGACCAGGCAGCAGGACTGTAGTCCTGTCCAGTGGCACTGGGGAGATGATGGGCTTGCAAAACTCCATTGTCAGATGCATGTGCATTTTGGCAACGTGTTCTTCTCAGGTCCTGCCTACATGCTTCCCCTGCACCATTAAAACTAAATGATATTTTGGTTGAGGAGGCTTCTGACTCTGGTGGCCAGGTGCAGGAAAGCAATAATGGACTCTGCCACGTGATCAATATGATCAAGCAAGAAGCCATTTATTTGTTCTAATACAGTTATATTTATACCCCAGTTTGATGCAATTACACGCGTCCGCTAATGTGTTACTGGTTATTCACTCACTGCATGAGCTGTTCACACGCCCTTTTCTGCATAGCCATTGGCTGACAGACTTAGCATGCTTTCTTTATTGTTTGCTTGCCAAAGTACATCTTCTGTTACATTTCAAGGCTCCTTCCTCATATCTTATCGACTCAGCTGCTGACATCCTGGTTTCGGATCTGCCTTTTCGTATCTCCAGTCACGTACCCCCTCAGGGTATGCCAAGATATGCTCCCACAATTCCCGCAGCCAGGGGCTGCCAGCAGAACCACAGGTGTGAAAACCTGGTCAGGTGTGCTGTGCAAACCATGGCTCATTCATAGACAGGATGCTGCAGCCATGGGCCTGTCCTATCGGTGGAAGAATTGCACAGAAAAGTCCAAGGAGAGATAAAAGCGGGAAAGCTGGCACCCGTGTGTGTCTGTATGTGAGGCTGGGGTGCTGGACAGCACAGGGGTGCAGACCCATAACAGCTGTATGAGGGTGGTGGGGTCCCAGCAATGTGCTGACTCCTGAGACAGGCTGGGATGAATTAGCGAGGTTAACGACTGAACTGGAAAATCCTGCTGGGAAACACGTCCTTGAGCTTTTTATGCAGCCTCTTGGGGCTCCAGCTGAATCTTGTGGGGCAGAGCACAGAATTGCTATTTGTATGGTGTCCTACATGTTACAATGATGGGTTTGTATTTTATTAAAGCAGAGCTACTAGCGTCTGGGATGGAGGGATGAGGGCCTTTACTGTCTTGGCAGCACTGAGACCAGGCTCACCCCATTCCGTTGCACTGCTGCAGGGCGCAGTGCGGCTCTGAAGCCGGGACCAGGGCTGCTGGGCACAGCCAGAGCGATACGGGGCAGCCGGGGGCAGTGGCTGAGAGCCCGCAGCCCCTGGGAATTACAGATAGGGCTCATGTTTGCCATCACTGTTTTCCAGTAACCATAAAAAGAAATGTTTGTAACATTTTAGGGCCTGAGCACGAATACTGGCTCTATTGAAAACAGCAGCATAACTCCCCCTGAATTCCACACAGAGAAGGTTTAGCTCTCTCAGCATGAAGGTGCTCAGGGTTATTGATTTCCTCACTGCGACTGTCTTTGCTAGAACTATAAGCATCAGTCACATGCATTAAATGGGGATAGATAAACAAGAAAAACTGAAAATGATAAGAGGAAAGTCTGCAGCTGCTTCTAGCATAAATTGTTCCCTTTTTTGTATTTCCTTCACTGCTCTCATCTGAATCAGGACAAAGAAGTCTCTGAGATGCAATTTATGTAATAGCAAAATGCTAGGTTTACTGAAAGTTCTAAGCCCGTCATTTTTCATCATCTCCACTAAAAGGAAATCAATGTCTCCAGTTTGGATGTTTCCCAAGGAATTTTCTTTCCATATCTGAAAGCATCTTGTGTTCACAAAGCCACTAATGAGTAAATGTGATCAGAATGACATTGATTTAAATTTGGGTAAATAACAAGCCTTGGGGAGAGGTGCAGGGCCTGATAGTTGGGTTCGCTTGGGTTTCTGTTCATATCTGCTTGATACTTTTATTTTAGGAAAGCAGAAAAAAACTCTGTATGTTCCTCAAAGAGAGGAAAAAAAAACTTTTGAAATGTGTTACTATTTATTAATATCCCTCATCAGACTCAACACTTCTGCACAAGGGGTGTACCGCTCACCAGCCTTGTCCTCTGACTACTTCTCATGGTTAACCTTCTCCCTTATTGACACCTTTCTGTCAGAAGATGCTCAAATACTTTTGGGAGGGAGCATTTGCAGGTTGATGGCATGGGGCTGCAGCCACAACGTGCCTGCTAGTGCATGGCATCCGGCATCAGCACGCCCAGGCCCCGCTGTCACTGGCACGCTGGTCGCGACTACTCTTGGCAGGCCGTTGTGATGCACAAAAGCACACTGCCACCATTCAGCCCCAAAATGAGCTCTAAATCTCCTTCCAGGCTGGGACAAAGCTTCCTCCAGCTGGGTGCTGTCAGCCCTGGAAAAAAGCCAGGTGCCAGCCAGGAGCAGTGCCAGCAGCCTGCCAGTCAGTGCCAGAGGCGTAGCTGGCAGGCAAAGCCCACAGGCAGGCGAGCTGGCAGCAGCGGGGTCGTTATTTCCAGGATGCATGAATCCTGGTGAAATAAAGGGGAAGCCTTCATCAGCTGAAGTGTATCAGCTGCATCCTTTGGGAGGAGCAGATTCAGGGAGAGGAAGCTGTGGTCACCGTAAGCAGCACCAGAAAACTCACACACCGCCTATTGCCAGGCACCCTGCAGCACATCCTGGCAAGAAACAATGGTCACCCTTCGCTGCCACACACCTCCTTGCTGTCTGTAGGAGGCTGGCCAGCATTTTGGGTGGCGTGGGTGGTTATCAGCAGGGCAGCATGGCGGTTTGAGGATGTTTTAAGCTGCTGCTGGGAGCGGTGCATGGAGCCATTAGGCTTCATCACTCTGTCAAACACTCAAGTGACTGATGGAATGTTGCTTATAAATATTGTAGTTCATCACGCCTTCAGTGGCTGTTCACTGAAGAGCTCTTTAACTATTTAAAAAGTGTCTGAAAGTGGAATGTGCCAGTAACTAATTCGTATGTCATAAATGTGTTGTTTTACGCCCATGGTAGTTATATGAAGTATATGCTGTTTCTGATGTCTCACTGTAGGCAGCTAGACCAACAACTCTAAAATAAACCCCTTCAAGAAAATTGGTTATTTTTATCTAGTGCTCTCAATTTTCAGCTTGAGCTAATATTTACCTATTCAATCAGACCGAAGTTAAAATAAAGACTGACTGATAAGTATTTGTTTAAACTTCAGAAGCCCCCTACTTTTCTTTCTTTCTTATCTTGGTTTTCTCAGCTATCAGTTTGCTGTCACTAATTGCCACACCTAATAACTTTTCCACTAGGAAGCAGCCTGGGACTGATAGGAGATGAATATTTGGAAATCTGAGTTCTACTTTTTAAAAAATATACTCGTTCTGGAGGAGGGAGGGTTAATGAAGGGTCCCCCACCTAAGCATTGCCTGCAGGACTTCTGGTCCCTGCACTGGGCCACACCATATACCAGTGGCACCGACCTCTGCTTTTTGGGGCTGTTCAGCCTGGAAAAGAGAAGGCTCCGGGGAGATCTTATAGTGGCCTTCCAGTACCTGAAGGGACCTACAAGGAAGCTGGGGAGGGACTTTTCATAAGGGCAGTTAATGACAGAACAAGGGGAAATGGGTTTAAGCTGAAAGAGGGTAGGTTTAGATTAGATATTAGGAAGAAATTCTTCACTGTGAGGGTGGTCAGACACTGGAACAGGTTGCCCAAGGAAGTTGTGGATGCCCCCTCCCTGGAAGTGTTAAAGGCCAGGCTGGATGAGGCTTTGAGCAACCTGGTCTAGTGGAAGATGTCCCTGCTGATGACAGGGGGGTTGGAACTAGATGATCTTTAAGGTCCCTTCCAATCCTAACCATTCTATGATTCTATGAAGTTAATGGTGAAATATCACTTGACACCCATAGGGTCTGGACTTTGTGTGGAAAGGGACATAGGGGATCATGGGGGGTCACTTTGTGGACACCAGGATGGATTTGTATTTGCTTCTCCCATCGCTTGCAGAGGGGGAAGAGCACGACAAGAGCCCTGTGAGGCTGGCTGACATCCTCCTTTCCACTTCCTTGCTGTGTTTCTCTGCCCAGGTGATATACCGAGCCCTGTCACCGCCTTATGCCGTGGAAGACCCGTACAGCGCAGAAGCCCAGGCACAGCTGAAGATCACCAACCTGCGGGTGCGGCTGACAGGGCTGCCCCTGCCTCCCAGCCCCCCAGCCTCCGCAGCCCCCGCCGCCCCTGCACTACGCCATCTATGACTTCATCGTGAAGGGCAGCTGCTTCTGCAATGGCCATGCTGACCACTGCGTCCCTGTCAACGGATTCAAGCCCGTCAAAGCAGCTGGTGTTTTCCATGTGGTATGTACATGCATCCAACAATGTCTGCGCTGCAGGAAAGCCGAGTCTTAAAATTTAATAGAAGGGATGATAGTATAGAGTATGGTATAGGTCCAAGGATGCCGTATTTGACATGTGACACCCTGAATTCCAAGCACAGTGAGCAAAAGTGGTCATTACACAGAAGGTGATGTCCATGTAGGGCTGAAGCGCTGGGCTTCCCTTGGTGCCTTGGTGTGAGGTTCACCAGGACTCTCATCCTTCAAGGGTGCTCCACAGTAATTTATTTATTTCAGGTGAATCCTTAAAAAAAAAAATAAAACAAACCTGACTGCTGACTCCATTCTTCCTCCAGACACTAACTCTCAGTAACACAATATCTAGAAGACAACTAAAAGATGGTAAATGCAGGGCATTTTAAAGACAGAGAGGGAGGAGAGCTTCCTTGAATGTACTAGGGATCTTGTGACGGCCATTGCTTATGGAGGATCCTCAAATACCGGGTTGGCTCCTGAACTGGGAGGCAGGAGAGCTGGCATTTGCCTCTCACTCCCAGGCTTTCCATTGCAATTTGCAATACCTTTCTATGGATGAAAACCCTGTGCTCCAGTTTTGAGGGGACTCCCATCACAAGAGCTCTGGGCTCAAATCCCTCGGCCCTGACCAAGACCTCAACCCCAGTCCTCCCACATCATAGAGAAGCGAGAGTCCCTAATGCATTGGGGAGGTGATGGGCACAGCAGCGGACAACGTCTCAGATGCCTGTGGCACGGCACGACATCCCTGCACCCTGCCAGCCCAGGGACACCCTGGTCTCACTGCCCCAAACACATCTTGTCCTTTCTGCCTGTCTTGGTTGCCTCTGAAAGTGCTGGCTTTGCTGGCAGAGGAGCGGTGGGGAAAGCCAGGGCAGTCAAACATAATCTGATGAATAGTACTAGAAAGGGAAAGATCATAAAAAAACCATAAGGCAGTTACTTGAGGTAAGGAGGTCTGGCATCTATCCAACTCTTTGGGGAGCTCTCATTTCACTTAAATTATGGTCTCAGACACGAAGCAGACAGCGTGCATGTTTCCATTCTAATAGAGCTAGTCTTGCAACAGCTTGAAAATATACTGATTTGAAGTTCTGTTCAGTCAGTCAGCGCTATGATTGATAAGGCTGTTACAAGTAGTGCTGCTCTGCTTTCCACAGGTGTTCCCTGAGCGAAAGTCTTTGAAAGGAGCTGTTTGCTCAGGATTATTTCAGTGAGATACAATTGCACAGGAGCGTAACCCAGAGCACTGCTGAGAGTTGTAACAGAGCCTGCAGCCAAATATGCTTCCGGTACGGCTCTAGCCTATGGAAACCATAGTGCGCAAGTAACAGGTGGTGCTGTAGGAAGGAATCAAGTGCCAAAACTGCACTGAACACCAAAGCAAGAAATAGCAACAAGCGCCTGCACCAGCCCTGAGGGGACTGGAAATTTGACTCCAGTTATAAATGTCTATGTGGCAGGAGTCCCAAAAGTGATGTTTCTGCAGTGAGACTGACTCATCTCACTGTGCCTTACAGCTTATTCTGTGTGTCCCATAAGGGATGTACCGGTGTAGGGGCGATGTAGCCCCACGGTGTGCAGGGAGGGTCAGGGAATGCTAAGATACTTACTCTCCCAATACCATTTTTTCCACCATAGGACTGGGGCAGCTGGGGCTGAGCCCAGTCCATGCCAGGCTCCTGTCTGGCACAAGGCTACTGCAATTCGGGGGCTGTGGTGGCACCCCACTTGTGCGTACCAGGCTGGGGATTTGCCAGTGCATTGCTTCAGGATGGGAGAAGAGGATTATTTCCAAGATGATAGCAAGACATGTTTGTGAATGAGCAGAAAAGGGGCAGAAGATTGCAGGGTCTATGGCTGATTAGCTGGAAATAGTCAGAGAAACTTCTGAAAAGAGAGTAGAATTTCAGAGAGGGAATGTTTTTGTACATTTCACCTGAAAAAGTCATATAAAAGATTATTCTGAAGAATTCAGAATTCAGTCATTCAAGTGTGAGATGGGGACTTTAGTCTTGTCTTTATGTAACTGTATCTATAGGAAGTTTTAGCAGAACCCCCACTGTAAAATGGAGGACTGCAAAAACTGGGAAGCACATTACCATTTCACAATATGTTTATAAAATCTGGCTCTGGTTTTATGCTTATTTAGATGAGAGCACTCCTGAAGAATATCCCTTGAGTTAGAGAGTTAACATCAAAATTCAAGCAAGTTTATGATCCTTAAAAAAACCCCAAAACTTTTCAAAAACTCAGAGACTCATAGAATCATAGAATGGTATGGGTTGGAAGGGACTTGGAGAAGGAAGGGGTCAACAAGGCGTTCCAGGAACCTCCTGGACTGTTTAAGCCCTGCTGTGTTGTCCTTCCAACAGATATCAGAGTGTTTGAAGTCTTCCATGAGGACCAGGGCTTGTGACCATGAGGCTGCTCCTGTCTGCCTATAGATGGCCTCATCTGCTCCGTCTTCCTGGTTGGGTGGCCTGTAGCTGACCCCCACTGTAATGTCACCTGTTCTTGTCCTCCCTCTGATCCCGACCCATAAGTTCTCAGTCAAGTCCTCATCCATCCCCAGGCAGAGCTCCATTCACTCCAGCTGGTTGTTGACATAGAGGGCAACACCCCCTCCTCATCTCCCCTGCATGTCCTTCCTGAAGAGCCTGCATCCTTCCAATCCAGCACTCCAGTCATGGGAGCCATCCCACCATGTCTCTGTGATGCCAGTCAGGTCATAGCCCTGCAGGTGCGCACACATCTCCAACTCCTCTTGTTTATTCCCCATGCTGTGTGCATTTGAGTAGAGGCATGTAAGCTGGGCCTCCAATGAAGCTGACCTACTGGCTGGAGGGGCTGGAATTCTATTGTGCCGCTCCTCTGGTGCTCTCCTGTCTACCTGTGATCCTTCTCCAGGCTCTGGGTGTCTGTAAAAAGAGTACGTGCAAGTTTTCTGAACCCCCTACTTAGTCGCAGCCCACAGGCAAAATCCTAACTGCAGGCTCAGTTTCAGTCCCTGTTTGGCCAGCAGAAGACCCAGATGTGATATATATTTGTTTTTTCTTGGGCTGCCCTGGGCAGTAAGCCGGGGTGTCCTGGCAGCGCTGGGCATAGCTGCTGCATCTCGGGCAGAACTCGCAAAGCGACCAGAAGCATTTCAGCCATCTCACCCAGAGCGCGTCTGACAAAGCCACACAGGGACGCGCGGGTGCTGGCGGCTGCTGCTTAGGCAGGTTTGGTGCAGGGGCTTGACTCAGGGGGCCAGGATGCTCCACTGAGCTTGGGACAGTGGCCCAGCTCACTGCCACAGCTTTTCTCCCATGGAATGCATTTCTTCTCAAGGGCTGGGACATCGTGTGCTGGGAATCTGATAGTTTTGAAGGAAAATATTCTGAATGGCTGCAGGGAGGCTAGAAGTCCAGCCCAGCCAAGAGATAACACTGACCAGGGACATCCTTGGGGTGTGGCGGTGGGATGCAAACAGGGTTGCTCCATGGACAATGAGGGGCTCCTTCCACCCCAGCAGAAGCAGCTCTAGCTCTGTTCACTGAGGTGGAATAACCTCCGTTTTGATTCCTCTGAGTTAGATGAGAGCAAAGGTGGACGTCACAAAGTCCAAACATTTGCTGTAAGAAAAAAAATATTTCACATTAGCCCCAACAGCAAAAAGCAATAGGCAGGGCCTGAGAAGAGAAGAGGTTTGTTTCTGTGCCCTCACCACTGTCCAGCTGCAAAACTCTCAGTGATGCTCCTCTCTGTGGTGGTCGCTGTGTGGGTACCACAGAGCAAAGCTTGTCAGCGATTCCCCTGCCCACCCTTTCTCCTAAAGGAGAAAAGAATTTATGTAGGAAACTCTGGATTTATTTGAGCACCAGAAATGCCTTGTCAAACTTTAGGTGAATTCTGAATATACAGGTGGGGCTCCTGCTCTAGGGGAGCTTATCTCTCCATAAGCTGCAGGGGAAGCCTACAGAGAGGAACTGGCTGCCTTCCAATGATGGCAAGGGCTGCTCCTTATGGGTAGTATGATCCTGACTGTCCCTTGTTATACACTTGTGTGCAACAGGCAGCTGTCAAGGTGACACAGATACTTTTCCTTCTCTTCTTCACTTCTCCCAAATTTATTCAAAGGGTCACTACCCAAACCTCATCAACAACAGCCCAATGCATGACCAAGAAAAGATGTGCGTGGACAAACACACCTCACACTGTACCATGCAAAGCAGTTGGGTCAGTTTGTGACCTGCGTTACATGATGAAACATGTGTGAGTAGAGAAATGGATTCACAGACACACAAGAACCCTCCTGATCTTCAGTGGCCATGAGAAGACTCTTCTTTCAGCTGCTGTGATGCATAGGAGCTTCTCACCCCTTGCCAGTACCTCTGTCATAGAGCTATTACAGTGTATGCTTGGCCCCTTACCGGCTAAAACATCCCCATGGCCTGCTTGCCACTGCGGCAAGAGTTGTGAAAGAGGAGATCAGCCTAGGAATAGGTAGGATCTTGTAGTTTAGGACTCCAAAGTGGGGAAAGAAAACCCAGAGGTACCTCACCTGGGCTGTGCAGTTCTGTCTCAAGGTGAGGGCAGGAATTAATCCGTCCCAGAGATTCCTTGGCCCTCCCTGCCTGCAGAATCCTGCAACAGCTACATGGTTTCCATTGTTGGCCTGAGTCATCCATGTTAGAGGGCTGTGTCCTTGCTGGGGCTTCCTGCTTTTATCTCTATGAGATGAAATCCCATTATCAATTGATGACTTCATTATCTCATTGATAATCCAGTATTATCAACTATCTAATATTTCTCACTCTTTCTTTCTTTCTTTCCTTTCCTGCACTCCAACTAGTGCAGCCCTGTCTGGATGTCTTTCACCTGCATTGAATAGAGTGAGAAGAAAGGAGCGGGTCTGGTTTTGTTCTTCCTTTTGTTCACTTTTTCTCTCTATGACATTTTAAATAATGGGATACAGCAGCTATCTTTACTTAGAAGAAA